GTAGATTTATATTGTTTAAAATGTGCAGTACTACTGAAAATCAACCATTACACACATTAGACTATACACTCTGTTTTGAATACTCTAATTTCATAGCAGATCATCACATAAATTAACTTTTCAACAGCACTGTTTCTAAGTTAACCCAAAAGTTTTTTCATATTAAAAGATTAAATTTGGTTATTTTGATGGACTTTGAGCAGTGAAGAAATTGAAGTAATGTCCTGAACTAGGTAGAATGTAGTTAGACACAAGCAATGACAACAATATTGTGACCGAACAGAGTGTAAATCTCTCTATGACCACCTTCTGTTGTACCTGTTGTACCGACAGACAACATAAAAAACTCTCTCCTGAACTATCAGAACTTTGAAACTTAGTAGTATTTTTGGTTTCAAAAGAAATAATGGCAATAATGGAGCTGGAGCCTATCTCAACGAGGCGAGATGCACCTTGGACAGAACATCAGTCTACTGCAGGGCATACAGACATGCGCACTCACATTAGGGTGAATTTTCCCAGAAACCAGTTGACCTTCAGGCATGACTTTGGACTGTGAGAAGAAAACAGAGCACCTGGAGAAAAGAGTACTAACTAGTATTTTACAAATCTTGCTAAACGTGGCTGCATTTTCAATCCTATTTTGAAGAGGATTTTTTAAACCTGGCTCTGGAGCATCAACTTGGGAGTGAATGAGACTTGGAAACATGGCAGTGACACACCCGCTGAGGAAGCAATCCATCATTTAGCACCTTGCAAGCTCTGCAGTGACAGGCAGGAGAGTTACTGCCCAATGGAGAAGCAATGCATCTCCCACATGCTTAACCGCAAACCAGCCAGCAGCTGCCCAATCAGTCGCTGTGCAGGACCTTCAGAGAACCCATTTTCACCCTAGCTGACTACCTAATCATTAAAGGTTACCGAACCCTTAACTAATGTTTTACTCCTTTGCTTCAATCAAGGAAATGCCCTGCACGCTTACCAGGGTGCCAATTATGAATGCACACATTGTGAACTAATAAATAGCAAACAAATAGTGCATTATATAATCCAAAATAACAAATTGCATATTTGCCTTTTATTAGAATTGTGCAGAGGGTATTTCCATGTCAAAGATCTTACCATTAAGTCCTTCTAAGCCTCAACTTAATGTCCGTGTCCCACAAGAAGTATCACTGTGGTTATTGGCAATACCTTCACAAGAAGGCTTTTTAATCAATTAAATTGCAAAGAAGGTAGACAGCAACAAAGCTGTGTATGGAATTCTGAGAACATCTAAGCATCTAAGCAACTGTAAAGTACAGTAACACTTAAAGACTGAAAATCAGTGTTTAAATAATAAGCCTTCCACCATTAAGAAAATAGTCTACAGGTAACCTACATTTGCGTTTATATTGAAATCTTTTATTTTTGTAAGGGGACAAAGACGGTGGCACATCCATATTCCGTTTCAAAATCACTTAAAAAAATATTAGATGACAACCCTGCCGGCCTCCTCAAACATACAAAAGGTTTGCCGTATTTGAGCAAATCATTGCTGAGCTTACAAATCAGTCTTGTGTCACCTCAAAGGTCCTCCACTACACAAGACAGTACAAACACAACCCCACATTATATCCGCAAAATCAGAATCTAGAGGCAGGGACTCCCTTGCATTTCGGTTGCTTTGAAATGGAATAACCTTGCTCTAAATCATTTTCTGATTAAGCAATTATTAAATAAAAAATTAACAGAAGTAAGAAACGGAACGCAATCATTAAATAAAAGGCCAAAAACCAACTGTACAAGTGTACCGCCGCACCGCAGAGGAAAGGGTAGGCACCTGGCCTCCCGTTACTTATCGATTCCCATTCCCAATCTATTTAACCTGCACGGAGTCATTTCCATCCGTAATTAGGATATCCAATATTTTCGCCCATGTATTACACGGTTTAAAAAAATAAAAATGATGCAGTTTTAATAAAATTTTTGGCCAGCTGGAAACACCAAACGATAACACTCCTTTTTCAAAGTCTGTGCACTCGACGGAGAAACTAGTGACTCCGAAAGATAAGTTATCTAAACTGTCCTAAAGATGAACGACTAGTCTTGAGCTTAATTACATTCAAAGGGACTAGCCTACCTGCCCTGCTGTACACAGATGGCGCACTTTTACGAATTCAGATGGCGGCGCCTGCTGACGACTCCAGAACACACCTCTTTTCTTTCTTGATTGGTTGGACGCCGGACTCGAGTTCCCAAACAATTGGACCAACCGGCCGTTAATCATATCAGTCAAGGCGCTTGGCGCGGTGCGTGTGGTTATTGATAAAAATGTCAGTAATTCTCAGTAATTTTCGGTAGTCCTTTGAACTACTGGCACTTTTTAAATTGATACTCGGTAAATTAATTTTGCTTTCCATCTGCACTCTGAGTCTCAGATTATCGGATCGTTATATATATCGTTAAATCTGAACTAACGGCACTTTTTGAATTTCTGTGGAGAAGGTGCCGAATGTGAAAAATGAACACGTGGTCTTCAGCTACACTTAAAATAATGAATTACCTTACAAAGCGATGCTTTTTGGACTTAAAGTGACATTTAGCAGTTTATCTGGTCAACTCCTTAAATCCACAGATAGACAGAAGCCAGTACATCTGAGGTCTTTTGTTGGAGATTAAAGAGATTAAGTTCCTTCAGTGTGTCACTGTAAAACACTCCCTTAAGCCCATTAATGTATTTGGTTGCTGTACTCTGAACTGATTCCAGATCAGCATTATCTGCTGCTATGCAGGGTCAAATGCGTTTAGTATTTATGCAAAATTACATGTTAAAGGGTCTCATCTTGATTTCAGATGCACTGTAAGTCTTGAAGATAAATATTTTGTTTTGACCAAGGGAAAACAGATAGAGACTATTTCATAAACTAAACTCAAGTAAACTATTTCTGTGATATCCAGTACAGAATATATCAGTTGCTCTTAAGCAATTCAAATGCTTTTGCATGAATGTTTGTAGATTTTACAATCTGATCAAATTAGATTGCCCCTCAGCTGTTTTTTGCCCCTCAGAGGCCATGAAGGTTGGAGACCATTTGGTTAAGATGAGCTGTTAGCCTGAGCTTTAACACTTGGGCACCCTCATATGATGGAAACTGGGTGTGGAGCTTTTGTTCATTGCAATGGCTCAGAAATTATATATTTTTTAGACACTCCTGCTGTTTTAGATTAATGATTCATATTTTACATGGTTATTTGGTATGTTTGTTATAATTGACTAACTTGGATTTCTTCTGTAGCAGGTTTAGTTAAAACAGTCTAAAACATTTGTTGGGTGAAATAAAACCGTTTTTGAGTCAAGTTTGTGGGCCTCCATCTTGATTCTTGATTCAGGTTAGTAAACTGTAATGGTAGAGTGTCCTGCTTTAAAGGTTCCTGAAAAAACTCCTTGCTAAACAAAAAAGTCAACCATGTATTTAATGTTGTTTTATTTTCAACAAAATAATTTTGAATTCATACCTTTCACAGACAAAATATTATATTTCAAACATTGTAAACAAAACTTTAAATGGGGAAAATTGGAACTAAGGAAGTGTTTAAACATATGAAAAGACTTTAATATATGAATATATTTAAATATATGAAAAGACTTACAATAAACAGAAATCACAATATTAAAAAAATACACAACCAGTTACTGATCAAGACCACTTTGAATATCTGAGAAGATTTTATCATTTAACTGTTATTTACTTACTGTACCAGCCAAGTTGATTAAATAGTTTATTGCAGAAATTGTGCAAATTACTTGCAAATCAATCAAAACAAGTCAAATGATTAAAAAACAAATGATTAAAACAGATGACATGCATTTTTCTAACCAGATTATTTATGTCTATTTTTAAAGATATAAAAACGTTGGTAGTTACTGAACATTTCAGCTACTTCAAAAAAGTAACTCCCAACGATTAAAAAATACATTCACAGATGCTAACACCACACTTTGGAGAAGGCAACCACCTTCCTTGCCTACAAATTTAGACCCATTGCTTCTGCCATGAAACGTTTCTAATGATTTCATAAGCAGCTGCTCGGGGGTTATACTGGCTTGCATTACAGAAGGTAGGTTACTTTGTAGGAAATGGCACATTTGCACATAAATGTTGAGTGTGTCCCCTAGAGATGGAGAGAAAGTGCCCTGTCTGCACCTGCTGGTCTTTTAGCACATCTAAGGGAAAGCAAAAGAGATGAAGTGGTGTATTATATCACAGATCCTCAATGGGTTTAATCTGCTGCAGCATGTTTAATTAAAATTAAATAGATCGTACTTACCAATTAGTATAAGCTACTTCTGAATTACATTTTAAACTCAGAAACAAGGTATACTATTATATGATCATTGCATTTGTTTTTAAGCATCGGTCGTATCTATTGTGGTTCTCAGTTATCAAATGCAAAAAATTGCAATGCCTTGGAATATTCCAGTTTATTCAATATATATTTTAACTCTTGATTATAGTGAACATGCCTATTTATTTGTCATTTTAAAAAAGGCACATGAATATCTGTGTGTATTATGGCTAACAGTTTATTTGATGTTGTACTGGGTTTTAAGCTGGAACCTGAGTTGTCAACTTTAAAAATAACTGATGGCATTACATTTCTGGCTGGTGCAGCTTTTTTATGGGAGCAGGGTAAAAGCATTAAAAGTATAATCTTGTAAATAAAATTGCAAACATTGGTTAGCAGGTCAACATGATTAGGCACTGAAGCAATTGAAAAGGCACCTTTTTACAAAATGGTGTTTATTTTTAAAAATAAATAAATGGTGGCTTAAATGCTCTTGCAGGAATTGATAATGACTTTAGTGCAAGATGTACCAGAATGGTGGTCTAAGTTAAGGAAATGCATAGCTGCAGCCATTAATTTATTTTTTTAAGTGACTGTATATTTTACTTTTAATTTACTGAATCTGTCTCACACAAATTTGTTTTTTTCTAAATTGTGAGGATTAATTAAGATGCTTATGTGTTTTTCTTATCTCATGCATATGTTTCTTATTTGTAAACAGGTTCATATTGTGTTAAATATATTGTGTAGTCTTGTACCTGCCTGCAATATAAATTTCCCATCTGGGACACTAAAGGAAGTCAGTCATTCATAAGTCAGTTGTCATAAACAGGGAATTTTCATTAAATTACACTGAAGCTGTAAGTACTTTATCTTTTTTTAAAACCAACAAACTAAGCAGCACATCTTATACTTATTGCAATAATTGAAACATGTTGAACTATAACTTTTGTAAATTTTCTTTAGACAGTCCTATATGAGAATAGAGTAGACTCTTCTTAAAATTCCATAGCTTTCTACTGTACAATTATATGTATGGCAAATTCATTAAACTTTTCTGAAGTAAGAAAAGAGCAAGCTAATTGTTTCATTACAGAACCACAGAACAGTATATTGTTTATGTAGAATGACTTCGGGTTTTAGAATTATTTTTACTCTATATTAAAGGATACTAAAATCCAACTTTAGAGCATTAAAACAGGTTCAAGAGTATACTGAAAAAATCTGAAACTAGAAAAGTTGTCATTACAATGTACATCTACAGTGTACAATCTTGAAATAAATGCATAAAAATCCCCACTGAGTAATAGGAGTACTCCATTAAAGCAAATGTTTCTATTGGCTGCTCCGAAGATGTAGACACCTGAATACGTTTGAGTAACGCTTTTGGGAAAACTACCCCTGAAACAACAGTCTATGTATTTCTTTTGCAGGTAGAAAAAAAAAGTTCTTGGGTTTAAAGTGCTCTATTCAAGTATATACTGTCACGTAGCACCAGGCAACAGAAGGTAGGACCCAGTGCGTGGCTATTCTGGTAAATGTGTTTCGGTGCCAAATTGAGGGACAAAGACGTGGTCTTGGACGAAAGCTAGGAGGTCAAAAGCCAGGAAGGTTCCAAGAGGGCAAAGTACAAAAGCAGGAGGTGAGGTCGTAGTCGAGGACGTGAGGGAAGAGTCGAAATGCTGGGAGAGTAGTAATCTTTAGGGGAAAAAGGCTGGTAATGTACGAGTACTGAGCTCAGGGATGAAACCTCAATAGTGAGCTAAGAAAAGAAGACGTTTGAGGGTTTAAGTAGTGATGAGTTAATTGGTGTGTGGGCATTTAGGGAGAGTAGAGCTTGTGGAAATGCGGGAGCCCTTGCATGCCTGCGTGTGATTCGTGACAGTACCCCCCTTTCAGCAGCATCTCCAGATGCCATAGCTAGAGGAGGAGAGCGATGGAAGTCCACAATGAGGGCCTTGTCAAGGATGTCTTTTGGGGAGACCCAGGATCTCTCTTCAGGTCCATATCCCTCCCAGTTGACCAGATATTGCCGTAAACCCCCATGCCAGGGAGACTCCAGAAGCTTGTTGACAGTAAAGGTAGTGGATCCAGCGATGGAGCGGGGTGGGGGTGGGCGAGGTTGCGGTCTGGAGAGGCGTGACCTGTGGTAGGGTTTGAGAAGCAAGACGTGAAATGTAGGGTGGATCCGAAGGGTGGGGGGGAGAGTGAGGTGGTAAGTGACCAGAGTAATTTGTGAAATGACCCTGAAGGGGCCAATAAATCGGGGACCCAGCTTGCGAGGGGGTTGGCAGAGAGGGATGTTCTGGGTGGAGAGCCAGACAAATTGCCCTCTCCGAAGTCTGGGAAAAGGTTTTCTGTGCCGATCCATAAAGGTCTTATAGTGGTGAGTGGCTTTCAGGAGGGCAAGTCAGGCCATCTTCCAGAGCTTCTTGAGGGAAGAAATGTATTGTTGGACAGAGGGTAAGTTGGAATCAGGAATAGGCTTCCGGAGGAGTGAAGGCTGGTAACCAAGGGAGCAGAGAAAGGGAGACATGCCAGTGGCGGAGGAGTAAAGGGAGTTATGAGCGTATTCGGCCCATGGGGGTAGCGAGGTCCAGTCATCCTGGGTGGCCAAGAGGTATGGCCGTAAGTACGTGAGAAGGTCCTGGTTCAGTCTTTCGGTCTGGCCGTTGGCTTCGGGATGGTAGGCAGAGGTGAGTGAGACAGTAGTGCCCAGGGCCCAGCAAAAGGCCTTCCAGAAGCGGGACACGAATTACGGGTCTCTGTCAGACACGATGTCCTCGGGAATGCCAAGGAGCCTAAAGACCTGCTGGACAAAAAGATCGGCCATTTCCGGAGTAGAAGGCAAGGAGGGAAGGGAACAAAATGGGCAGATTTAGAAAATCTGTCAACAATTACCATGATCATGGTGTTGCCCTGGCTCCTGGGAAAGTCCTTGAGAAAGTCCAAAGAGGTGTGAGACCATGGCCATCCGGGTACCGGGGGGGGTTGGAGGGGGCCAGCCTTCTGATGACGGGCTGTCTTGATCCAAGCACAAGTGGGGCAAGCTCGAACGTACTCTGAGACATCCGCCCTGGGACCACCAGAAGTCCCCAGAGATTAATTCCAGAGTGCGTCTGATGCCAGGATGACCCGCGAGTCATGTCCCCATAATAGGACATCAGAGCAGACCCGATCAGTCACAAAAAGTTTGTCCGTAGGGCATGTAGGGGGTACGGGGTGGTCTTTGAGTGCGTGTTGGATGAGGTGCTCATTGTCAGATTGGACGGCAGCGATGATCTGGTGAGAGGGAATGATGGGTTCAGGGGGTTGCTCAAGCTCCTGGGGGTCATGGAGACGGAAGATGGCGTCGGCCTTGACATTCTGTGAACCAGGAGTGTAGGTGATGAAGAAGCAGAAATGGGTGAAAAACAGGGACCACCTGCCTAGCATGATTTAGGCATTGTGCTGACTGGATATAGGACAGGTTCTTGTGATCTGTGAGAATGGTAAATAGATGTTGGGCTCCCTCCAGCCAATGCCTCAACTCCTCAAGAGGGAGCTTGATGGCAAGAAGCTCCCTGTCTCCAACATCGTAGTAAGTCTCTGCTGGCGAGAGTCTCCTTGAGAAGAAGGCAAAGGGGTGGAGGGTACTCCTGTCCCCATGGCGCTGGGAAAGAACAGCCCCAACCCCATGAGCCGAGGCATCGACTTCCAGGCAAAGAGGGGTCTGGGTGACGGAGGAGAGGGGTCGTGGTAAAGAGGCATTTCAGGCGCAGGAAGGCATGGTCTGCCTTGTTGGTCCATTTGCCCAGAGTGGGACCCTTATGAGTGAGGGCGGAGATAGGAGCGGCGACTGAGCTGAAGTCCTTTATGAAACGGCGGAAGAAAGTGGAGAACCCCAGAAAGCGTTGGACCTGCTTCCGGGGGGTTGGCCAGTCCCCTATGGCAGCCGTCTTAGAGGAGTCCATCTCAATACCAAGAGGAGAGATGATATAAACCTAGAATCGTATTTTTGAAACTTGGAAAGTGAATTTCTCCAGCTTGGCATTGAGTCTGTTGCTGATGAGGCGAGTTAGAATCTCCCTGACATGAATGACGTGTTCCTGTGGGCTACTGGAATAAATTAAAATGTAATCCAAATAGACAAGTGCGTATTTGTGTATAATGTCCTGGAAAATGTCATTCATAAAATTCTGAAATATCGCCTGAGCGTTAGCAAGATCAAAGGGCATGACCTGGTATTCATAATGGCAGTGAGTGGTGATAAAAGCCATCTTCAATTCATCCCCCTTGCAGATGCGGACGAGGTTATACGAGCAGCGAAGGTCGAGTTTGGAAAAAATTGTTGTGCCCTGGAGGGACTCCAAAGCCGCAAGAATGAGAGGCAAAGGGTAGCGATTCTTGACCGTGACTTCGTTGAGACCACAGTAATCAATGCACAATCTTAAAGAGCCATCCTTCTTGGCTACAAAAAAAAAACTGGCACAGGCAGACGAGGAGGAAGGACGGATAAAGCCTGACTTCAGGGAGTCCTGGATGTACATTTCCAAAGCCTTGGATTCATCTCACAAGAGGGGATAAACACCCTCTAGGTGGTAAAGCACCAGGGAGTAAATCGATGGCACAATCGTAAGGAGGATGAGGGGAGAGAGAAAGGGCCTTACGTTTACTAAAAGCAATGTGAAGGTTGGCGTGGGGGGGGGGGGATAGTGTAGGAAGTGACGTGAAAGATCTGGGCAACAGAAAGTTTCATGGGGAGCTGACAACAGTGGGTTAGGCAGCAGGATCCCCAGGCTGTGAGTTCACTCTGGGTACAGGAAATGCAGGGATTGTGTAACTGTAACCAGGGGTAACCGAGTATGAGTGGGAGTGACAGAGACTGGCGGAGGAGAAGCTGAATCACTTCCAGGTGATTGGCTCCAATATGCAGAGAGAGGGGGATCGTCTGCCATTCCACCAATCGTGGGGAGAGAGAGGAGCCGTCAATGGACTGGATGCGGATGGGGAGACAGGCAGCATGGGAATCTTCAGGGAGGTGGCGAGTCCGGAGTCCAGAAAGTTCCCTGCAGCACCTGAGTGAACCAAAGCCAGAAGAGACTCCAGAGTCCCGCCCCAGGAAAGGGTCGCAGGGATGGAGAGCCCAGAAGCACAAGGGTTGAGTGAGAGGATACTGACCTTAGCAGTGGGGTGGGCGGTGCGAGGGGGTCGTACTGGACAGGAAGATCTGAGATAGTTGGAAGCCCCGCAATAGAGACAGCGCCCCTCAGAGAGTCAGTGGTTCCGTTCTTCAGGAGTAAGACTAGAGGGGGAAGGAGTAGGTGGAGAAGCCGATGAGGGGACAGGAGAAGTCCGGCTGGAGGCAGGGCAGGGTGGGAAAAGTTCGCTCCTACGTTGTTGCAGGTGAACGTCGATCTCCGTGACCAAGGAGACAAAGCTCTCCAGTGTAGGCGTGTGGAAGGAGAGAAGAGCCAGGTGGTCTTTCAGCTCCTCGGACAGTCCCCTACGGAATTGGTGAATGAGAGCTTCCTGATTCCAAGCAATCTGGGAGGCCAGGACCCGAAAGTCCATCACATATTCCTTGTGGATCGTGCATCTTGCGATAATGCTGAAAGGCGAGAGGCGGCGAAGTACGGAGACTGGACCTGTCCGAAGGTCAGCAGAGACTGGAAATGAGTAAGGTCCGATGCTTCAGGAGCATTCCTGGCGAGAAGGCCTGCAGCCCATTCCAGTGCCCGGCCAGAGAGGTAGGCGACCATAAAGACGATCCTTTCCCGGTCCGTGGGAAAACAGTCCGGACGGAGGTTATAGGCCATCGAGCACTGAGTCAGGTAAGCCTGGCACATATTTGGACTGCCGTCGAACCTGTCCGGGGTGGGAGGTGGCAGGGGACTGGGAGAGGCAGCAGAAACTGGAGGCGGCATGGTGGTGGGTGGGAGACGAGAGGCTGGGGAGCGGATCCGGAGACTAAGTTAACCAGTTGCTGGATGGTTGCATTTAGCTGATCCAGTGCTGGGGAATTCTGGGCCAGCAGTGCCGAAGGGTTGTTAGAGCTCGCAAAGTCCATTTTGGCTCCCTATTCTGTCATGTAGCACCAGGCAACAGAAGGTACAATAGGACCCGGTGCATGGCTATTCTGGTAAATGTGGTTCGGTGCCAAATCGAGGGACAAAGACGTGGTCTTGGACAAAAGCTAGGAGGTCAAAAGACAGGAAGGTTCTGAGAGGGCAAGGTACAAAAGCGGGAGGCGAGGTCGTAGTCAAAGACGAGAGCTTGGGGTCAAAAGCCAGGAAGGTTCAGAGGAGGCCAAAACGGTAGGCGAAGTCGTAGGCGAGGACGTGAATGAAGAGTCAAAATGGCAGGAAAGTAAGTTAATAATATTTTTTTGGGAAAAAGGCTGGGAAAGTACAAGTACTGAGCTCAGGGAGGAAACCTCAATAGTGATCTAAGAAAAGGAGACGTGTGTTACATGCCTACAGCTGGGTGGGCTTTCTGCTGCGTGGCTCGCTGGCTGAGGGGGGGACCGACACCAGGCTCTTCAGCAGGGAGATGCGGGGGGGCCACCTGCCCGTCACACAGCTTGGGGGGGACACGGGCTTGGGTGCTCTCCCCGTTGACATGAGGGGCTGCATCTCCTGCTGCTGCACGGGCTGACTGCTGTCCTCCTCTCCACTTTGCCCCGCTGCCCAGTCTGGGAACTGGAAGAGGAAGCCCTGTCCACGGGCCCCGCGGGCTGAGGGGGAGCCCCGCTGCTCCTGTCTGCAAAGGGGTGCCCGACAGTGGCTCTGAGACTCCGCTGCTACTGGAGGAGAAGCCAGGCTTTCCAGAGAGGAGATGCTCTGGTTCCAGGCCTGCTGCAAATCAATGGGCACGATCTTGGTGGTCTCCAGAGAAACGCACACGGGAAGGCTGCCCTGGTCTCCCTTCCAAGGCAGCTGTCTCTCAGCGCAGGTGGGGGATGGCGGTATGGTGAAGGGACTATGACACACATCCTGGCCACCTGGAGGAAGAACAGGCAAGGGCTGAATTTAAAAAAAAAGATAAAGAAGGCAGAGAAAGGTACTTACAGGAACCACACAGGCATTTTTTTAACACTTAAATATGTAATCACTGGAGGATCCACATTAATGATCATTTACCTGATGACTTTATCTCCTGCAGAACCTCGTCTGCGGTGCGGGCCACAAAGGTGATGCCCTCATCCTCCTTCTCAGTTTCAGATTTGTCATCTTCAGAGTCTACTGTCACAACAACAGGAACTGCAAGCAACAGAAAGTTCTATCTACAGTTCATGTTAATCTGTTTCTGTTTGCAAAGCAAGAAATACTGGAATCAGTTTAAAATATTAAAAGCTGTTTCAATTTGTTAAGTGACAAGTTGCACTACTGGTGCTGCTAAATTTCTGCCCTAACCTGACAATGGTGCTGTCTCACCTGTGTCCTGCCAACTCACATTTCTTCTTGGTTTACCATTTGGAACCAGCTCACCCACATCAGTGCACTTGGGCTGTAAGCAAAGCACAGATAATACAACACCACTCTTCTGACAAATGAGGAAGATGCTTTTGGTAGAAAAAAATCAGAAACACATTTAGAATTTTTATATCCTCTTTAGTTTGGTAAATGTCATCTTTTGTTAAGAGTTAACTAAGTAAACCCTGAGTTTTCTTAAAAAAAACATTTTCACCAGCTTTATGTCTGAGACTGTGAGGCAGTGAGACAGAGAGGCTGCAGGGAGAGAGGGAGTGAGGAATAGAGGCAGCAAGGGAGAGAGGGAGTGAGGAATAGAGGCGGCAAGGGAGAGAAAGAGTGAGGAATAGAGGCTGCGGGGGAGAGAGGGAGTGAGGAAAAGAGGTGGCGAGGGAGAGAGGGTGTGAGGAATAGAGGCTGCGGCGGAGAGAGGGAGTGAAGAATAGAGGTGCCGAGGGAGAGAGGGAGTGAGAAATAGAGGTGGCGAGGGAGAGAGGCTGTGAGTGTCACAGAAGCTGGAGGCTAGCCGTGGAGAGAGACCGGCTAGACGGGAAGACCCTATGAAAAGCGGTAGGAATGGAGCAAACGGCCCTCAGATCAGGTAGCGGACATGGGGTGACCTGGTGAGGCGAGCCTCTCAACAACTGATCCCAATGCCGAACAAAGAGGAAAGGGAGACTCAGAAATATATAGCCCCAGACAACAAGACACACCTGAAGAACAAGTAAAGCACAGGGAAACTAAGAACAAGACAGAAAAGGAGCGCCCTCTAGATGTAAAGGGCATGAAAGTGATGGAGTGAGGAATAGAGGCTGTGAGAAGAGAGGCAGGGAGGAAGAGAGGAATAGAGGCTGTGAGCGACACAGGCTGTGAGGGAGAGAGGTTATCAGGGAGAGAAGAATAGAGGCTGTGAGGAAGAGAGGCAGTGAGGGAGAGAAGAATAGTGGCTGTGAGGAAGAGAGGAATAGAGGCTGTGAGGAAGAGAGGGATTGAGGCTGTGAGGGAGAGAGAGAAATAGAGGCTATGAGGGAGAGAGGGAGTGAGGAATAGAGGCGGCAAGGGAGAGAGGAAGTGAGGAATAGAGGCTGTGAGGGAGAGAGGAATAGAAGCTGTGCCTTTTTCTGGGCGTGGTGCTCCTTCTTGTACCGGGACTTGGCCTTGCCCTGGTAGGAGTGGTGCTTGGTGGACTTGAAGGACTCCAGGCGGCGGCGCATGTTCCTCTGGAACACCTCGTGATCCTGCCGCTCCTGCTCCCCAGCACTCATGAAGTGACGGCTGTAGTTCGCCTGGTACTGGGAAACACACACCACATCACACATCAGAGCAGCTATAGACACCAGATCCCACAGGTCCCACAGGATAGCCTCATTATGCAGCTTACGACATCACCTCCCCCACCTCTGAATTGCTTTCTAGAAAAATGAAATCCTGCTTGGCTGGAAGTACTGTACTGTTACTGTAGTACAGTTTCTTGCTCGGCCTGCTTTTATCTGAATGAGAGTTTGTTTGTCCAGCGTTTTTTGTGTCCAGCATTCTGAATGAGTGAAATTGAGCTTTCGGGCGTGGTGTGCTGAGGGAACTGCATGGGGTGCGGCGGCCGCATTACCCTTCGGCGAGGCTTGTACAGGTTGCCAGTCAGGACATGATGCATCACAGTGTCCTCTCGGTCTCGCACGCTCCTCACTGTGTCGATCACCTGCAGGTCCAGGCACACACCACTGCCATTCTCACGCCTGGGGTAAACACAAGCCCACATGATGCTTTAACACCTTTCCTACCCAGGAATCCCTCTGAGACAGGAGAAGGTCCTAAAGCACTGTTAATAACTGCACAATAGACTACGAAATGCATTACAGCCTTCAAATCTTTTCCTTTTCAAGGAAAATTCATCTTTCAATTAATCTTTTCAAGAACAACTACTATAAATGACCCATTCAATATACTTACTAATATCATAAATACAAATATATCATATACTAACAGTATATACTAATATCATAAGCTCATAAAGCCACCGGCTCCTATTTAAGGAAGCAGCAGCCGGTGCGAAGTGTCCTGGCCTTGAGACGGCAGCTCACAGCAGGTTAGTGACGGAGTTCTCGGAGAAGGAGGTTCTGCTGGGCATGGACGGCAGGACCAGCTTGGCAGATGAGAGAACGTGACCACCCTGGAAAAAATAGCAGAACTGAACATTAACAAAGCGTCCCACCCACACTCAGTGAGTGTCGGAGTCTGAGCTACAATTGCGTTCTTTTCATGGAGGTCCTTAACACTGAAAAGACATTTGACAACAAATCTGTCATAAGTCCAATTTATGACATGCAACTGAGAACTACAGTATGTGCAGTTTTCTATAAACAAACTCATTAAAACTACTATTGTACAATGTACACTGAAAAATACAATTTCCTTTCCAGTTTTAAGTGTGAAAGTTCAAATTAAATTGGCAGTTAATCCTTTATTTATAGAAACATTTTTTACCATTCTTTCATTTGAGAACAATGTAACACCTTGCCATTTCCTTTGTTGAGTTGATGGTTGGCCTCAGGGACTGGTTGATTTGGAAGATTGAGTCCCTGTACTAATATTAGCTGTCCAGCTCAGCACCGGGAAGTTCTGTGGTGTGGCTCAAGGGCAGAGGAAATTTCACTTTTTCTAGGATTTAGAAACACAACTGTCCTACATCACAGTGTATGGCAGCAGGATTACAAACTATCAAATAGAAAAAGAAAGAGCTTAGAAGTAGTCAAAACTTTAATTGTGTTCTAGCACCATTCTCTCCATTGTTCAAAGACCTGAAAAATATTCTATTAGGACATCACTAAAACACAGATTCTTTTTATCAGAAAATAAAAAGCTCAAATGAATCTTATATTCTAGTAATAGTTATCACTAGTATGAATTTGACTAAAAATTACTTAAAGCAAACTGTATATTTTTTCCTCCGGGATTAAGTCTTTATCTTTTTATCTTAAACTTTGATATTGTAATGGCAACCCAGTCCTGCCCTGGAGCTAATTAATTCTCTGGGGAAATCTCACCCCTCTGAAATTAGGCATTTTTGTAAGCATCACCAAAATGTTTCACTAAATCTAATAAGGAGGGAATGGCATCTGTAATTGCCTTAGAAATTGAGGGTCAAGGAACATGTTTGAAAAAAAGAGCAGTGGAGATTTTTTATGAAGTTATAAAGGGCTTAAAATCTCTAGGTCTATTACTTTTAACCTTGTTTTGTGCAGTGTGTTGCTAATGATTTGGGATGGATGTGGCTGGAAACTGTTTTCCTATCCATTTGAGATTCCTTGTTCCTGGACCTCAGAAGAGCCTCCAGTCAGTGAACAGCCACTGCCAGCTAGGGAAACCCTGTGCTTTGGCTCAGAAGAACATGATGTTTTCAAACAACATGAGAGCATTTGACCCATCCATCTTTTTGGGGTTTGCTTGTAGCTGTTAGATTCCAGTATCTCATTCAGGAATGTCTTGAAAGAAGTCAGCCTCTTAACTTCTCCAACACAGCCAAGTATCTTGTCCATACTCCTACAACTCTATGTGTAAAAATGTTCCTCGACTCATTTTAATATCCTTCCTCTTAGGTTGCATTTGTGTGTATTTTTGTATCACATTGATCAAAATTGTATACTACAGTATAAAGTATGTTGTTGTAGTGTTTTGAACAATTTTAATGCAACAATAATTTTAACCCAATGCTTTTACTTACAGATGCTGACATTTTGTTAGCTGCCTTTGTTATTTGTTCCCCACATTATCTAGATAATGGAAATGATGTATCAATGTAAGTCTTTTCATAGGCAACTTCATCCAGCCTGTATCCCATCTTACATTTAGTTTGTTTTCCTGATCTGAATGTGAGAATTCCTGTCCAAGATTTACAGCTTAGAAAAGTATCCATCATTCTCTTACTTTCCGTATTCCAGATAGTTTTCCTTTGTGAATGTTTTTCATACATGCCTTTCTACAGTATCTGCCTTCACAGAGCAAACAAGCTTTGCATAAGATCTGCACTCAGAAAGCCCATCAGGCACTATTGTTTGAGGAGTATTTACATGAAAAAGGCTGGCAGAAGACGGCTAATTATCCCAAAGCAGACATCAACATTTCAGCATCTGTGTAATCTATGCCATATTCTGAATGCACTGCTGTATGCAATTACACCCTGCCTGCTCCAGTAATGACAGTTATCTGCAGGGGTGCAATCCAGGTGCAAAGGAAGGGTGGATGAGCTACTCTCCAGAGCTGATAATAACAGCCTGCTGCACAACCCAGGAAAACATACAACAGAGCATGGAATAAATCAGAAGACAAGTTTATCTTTTCAAATTGTTCTGTTCTTTTTATTCTTTTGTATTATAATCACTTATACTGTTACATTGTCATTTATTTATGCCATAAAAGTGGCATAAAGTGGTATGATCGTCCAATTTAAACTTAGCTTTTTCTAATCAGGCAATGCAAATATGCGATGTACAATGTGATGCTACAGTAAAAAGTACTATATATAAAGCTGTGAATAAAAGGAGCATTAGCTATCTCTTGACAGTATCCAGTGCTGCCATGCTGAAACCAGTAGGGTGAACAGGCTTAGATTCTGAAACACACACTCTCTACTTGTGCAGTGCAATGGCTTACCTAGACAATAACTTGGTCAATTGCACCACCACATGGAAAGAAGCAGAATTACATCTTGTAAAGAAACATAAGAATGGTTACAAATGACCCCATCTAGCCTAGTTAATTGGCAAGTAGCTAACTGATCAATTATCTATGGATCTTATCCAGCTGTTTGCTTGACAGAAGCTAGGACAACATGGTCTGCTCCAGACACCCACAACTTTTTGTGTAAAAAATCCTGTTCTTATTTTTAAATACACTTCATTGTAGTTTCCTCTTGTGTCCTGTGGGTCATATTTCACTGTTTATTCTGGGGTGACTTTGTCAATGCATTTCAGGATATATATACAGTACATGAATTGTGTCCCATTTTACTGGTGAGATTCACTTTCTTTAGCCTGTCAGTTTTGGAAATTGGTTTAAGCTTGGGGATGTATCAGGTTGCTTTGCACTGGACTGATTTCAGAGTAGTGTTCTTTTAACATGGTGACTCCAGTTTTGCATAACATTCTAAATTGGGTCTTATCAGTGCATTATACAAATTTAACATATTTTGTATAATTACAAATAACATTATCCTGCATTTGTAACTAGACATTCTGATAGTATGTTTGTAGTTTCAGGGACTCAGCAGGTTTTTAGTAATGTGCACCTACCAAATCCACCTTCAGTTTAAGGTTGTAAGCAATCTGACAACTTTTGTTTAGGGTGCTATATTAATCCTAAAACACTTCACACATAAAAACAGAAATTCTTACTTGGTCAACAAAGCTGATGGCATCTCTGACGTTCAGTTTCTGATACATATCCCAGATATCATCTTTGATGCGATAGGCAGATTTCCGCATGAGCACCTGGCTCAGGTACTGCTTGTCAAAGTGCTCCCACCTAGATTGGGAATTTGAGGGTAAAAAGAATCAGAAAACAATTTTAAAAATCTGTAAATGTATAATATATTTTGTAGTATATCTAAGACACATACAATTTACCCCTCCCAAGAATGATATTCATTATGCTGTCTTCCTTTTGTATATCCACTTCTCCTGCTAAAAGTTATAGTATTAATCAATTTGATAGAATATTTAAGAAGCTGCCCAGGTGAAGAATGATCAGATCAGTGGGATGCAGTCCACACTTCATCTGTTAGGTAGACTCACTTGTCTCTCCAGTGGTGGTAACCATGGAGACCAGAGATGTCTTCCACAGCTGCCAGAATGTGGTCAAAGGCCTGGAGAGCGAGCAAGCAGAAAGTCTGGTTAACACACTGTCACCACAGGAACATATTTTGGATCTCATTAAAGGATCATGTTCCTTCCTGAAACAAAAGTGATCTTTACATCATTTTCAAAAATGTTTTTAGTGTGTAATAAAGTTATACACTGGGATTCCAATCTTCATAGTTTCATATTTTTTTCCCTATTGCCTCAGGAAGAGTGACCATGGCAACAGTCAATTCCAATCTCTGGAGCAGCTGTAGTGCTTCCACAGCACTGCAGGGACTCAGGGAAAAAGCCAAACCCGGAGGGCCAAGCTGAGAGTGGACTGCACAGGAGCCCCTCCAGCAGGCAGGAGAGCAGGTCAGGCTCACCCACTGGGTATCCCTCGCAGCCAAGAATGACAGTCTTCCACCAGCCTGAAGCTGGCTAACAAAGCCCATAGGGGATCTGCATACTCTGGGGACGGTTGAGCAGGTTTTGTCTTGGCAGATAAAAGGTTGTGCAGAGTGCCTCTCAGATATCACTGAGATCCTTCTCGAAACCACTCTCTGTAACATCACGCCTCTGCAAGTGGGGAGGGACTGTGGTTCTTAGAGTACAGGTGGGTTTGCCTGATGAGTTGATGAAAGAAACAATCTTTTCATCTATTCTAGTTGGCGGTTTCTGTTGGAGGAGATGTGAAGGGCAGACAACAAACAAAAGCACTTTTTTCTCAGGGCATCAAAACAATCCAGGTGTCTTTGATGTCAAATTGATTCAACTTGAAAGAGCTTGAAACCTGCAGAGGGGATCCAACTAAACCTCAAACACTTAAATTGTCAGGTACAATATAATCTATAAAAATTATGATCAGAATAAAAAATCATTTCATTTTCATTCATTGGCATCTGCTCTGTGGCACAGGTCACCCACCCTGTCGTGAATCTCCTCATTCAGAGTGGGTTTGTGCTGGCTGCTGCGCTTCACTTTCAGCCACTTCACAAGGGGCTTAATGGTCAGGCCCTGGGAAGACAGATCAAAACAATTGCCATTAAAAAATGGATACTTAGATTGAGGAATTGTGGCTTTTAACGTAGAGATGGGTCTTCCCACTATTGAAATGGTCTCTAGTGCTGAATTGCACTGAGCACCTGGGCAGCACCCCATGGATACAAATGCCTTGGCCTCTGTTTTGACACAGCAGGCAGTGCAATTACAGATCCCATCACTCCTTGCATTCAACACAATAACAGGCTCTTTGTCACTGTGCTGCTGAGAAGCAGCCATAAAAATGGGGTTTAAAAATGTTTTCCTGCAGAATTGCAGGCTTTCTTCATTAAAGACAGCTGAACATTGCCAGACATTCTGCTCTTTGCGGATATTTGATGTTAAAGTCTGTTCTGTTGCTACTACTGGAAAATGTTTTGTATTTTAACAAATTTTAATATGTTACAATACAGAGAATATAAAATTTAGGACAGGACAGTTTTTTGAAAGAGCGCTGTTTTGCTAGTAGAAAAATAGAACACTTACCTGAATAATCACTGTGAAGAAAACTACAATAATGGTTGTTGCCACAAAGTAGTCCTTTGCCTTCACCTTGGTTTCATTGAGTAAAATCACCAGCGCAAAAGCCACTGCACCTCTGAGGCCACCGTATGACATCACCACCTGATCGATCTTATCTAGGGGGCTGAGTCTGAACTGATTCAATACCCAGGTCTGAAAAACAACACCTTCGGAGACACACACACAAATTACACATTAACAAATGGCAGATTGCTTCCCTCTCAAACTCAAATAATATACATCACCATTGTTCCTTTGATTCTTGACAGCTAGTTACTAACACCAGTGGCTCTTTGAGTTAACACTGCACTTTGTCTCAGCACGATGGAACAGTACCACTCAGTATTTTAATCTTTTGTTAAAACTATCTAAAAATGTGTATTAATTGCATAGTGTCTTATTAAACAGGTCTTCAATATATCCAGTTGTATTTCCCCCTACAAGCATAGTTCATGCAAAAACCAAATCAAGAACTTTATTTCCGGAGTCCTGGGTGGATCTGTGTACACAAACATTACTCTGCTAAGGCTGATGGCAGCTGTACTGCCTGAAATGTTGTGACACTTCTAATGCACAGTGCATTTCCAGTCTAGAGAGGAATCTGACCAGCAGATATTTCTCCAGTGCATTTCTCTTGGGGTAGAAATGTAACCAGCAACAGGTAGAGTGTGGGCAGGGAGAATGCTGTTCACCTATGGCTCTCAGGACAAAGATGAAGAACAGTGTGGAGAGCACCAGGCCAGTGTCCCATGCCCACTTGGAGCTGTCCACAGCCGAGATGCCAAGGAAGATGAAGATGATGGTCTCCGCGATGCTGGCAAGAGTCTTCATGGTGTACTTGACCGTGGTGCGGGACTTCTGCGAAATGTTGGCTTCCACATATTTCTTGCAGCATATCCCACAGAATGTCATCCTGCAAAATGTACAGAGTACCTCAGCCGCAGCATGCAACAGGGTGGGAATGTCTGGAAAAAACTCATTTGCAGCTGCCTTGTCAGAATTAACCACGAAGACTCACTCACCCTGTAACTGCATTTTTAAAATGGATAGAAAATATTAATTTGACTTTTTTGTATTAATTTCCTTCTATTAAAAACTCTTAATATTTGAATCCACTGTGAACAGTTTTTTTCCAGACTGAAGAACTATTTTATCTAAAATTAAGCACCAGTAACAAGGTGATTTAATTAAATTTATACAATTGCTAAACTACTGATGATCAGAAGAGAGCACTAAAGACAACACCAGTCTCATTTGCTCCAGCTGCAGTACCCAAACAAAAATATTTAACAATATCCTTTCTAAGAACTGGAATTACCATTTCTGGTATGTTAAAGAACAAAAGCAATATACAATATCGGCACACCATAAATAAGATGGACAGAACTACAAAGTAGTTACATTAATAATGATAGGAACACTTGTACAGTTCTATACAAAAAAGTTTCTATGCTTGTTTCAGCTGTGTGCATAATGAGAGGCAAGTCCAGTGGAATAAGGAGGATCAATCAGGATGCAGAGAGAAGGGGGAGAGTGTACCAGGCAGGCGGAATGACACACAGCCCTGCGGAGGTGGCTGTGTGGGTTTTTAATGGCTGATTTAATATCACCAGAAAACTGTAATAAATGCAGCAAATCTTGAATGACATTTCTTATCTTAATTTTAGACATATCTTTAAGACAAATTGCCAGTTTCAGGGTAAATGAATGGAATATAAATATTCTTATTTATAGGTTTTTAAAGAAAAAAATATTTTCTTTATGTTCTAACAAGCTAGTATATCTGCTATATCTAATGTGTTTGGCAATGATTCCCAAAACATACAGACGCCTTCTGTATTATTAATAGAATTTACTATATCCTGCTGACAATGTAATATGATCTTTACACCCTCAGTGCTAAACCGAGATGCTATAAATGGTTTTAATGAGTCATGCTTGAAAATCTCCATGTTATGCTGACTTAAGACAGCAATGCCTACTGCTGAAAAGGATCAAATATAGGAATTCTCCCTCAAATAGGTTGAATAATGCGCACTTGTTTGTTCTTTATTCTGTCCAGTGCTCCCGGAGGTTCAAGTGGATGCAGGTGAGAGTCCAGACTGTTAGAATCCATCATTTCTCAGACTGACAGAGCCATGACCCTCTGGGTCGGACACTCACGCCAGTATAGAGGACAGGGAGACCATCTCGGCCGTTAGGTAGGCCAGGTACACCAGCAGGAAGACAAACAGAGGCTCGATGATGCGCACTCGCTTGGTGAAGCGTGTGATGAGCGCCAGCACAAAGGCAAAGATCAGACCAATCACAGTACCCCCGAGGCTCACCACAAAGAAGGAGGCTGGATGTGAAGAAAGAGAGAGGGATGCGGATTGTAATTCCTCAGGCATGTATAGCAGCAGGTCAACAAACAGGACACCTGAAGATACTGGATAAAAACTAATCACTGCCTTAAAATTGCAGGCATAAGAAACAGTTTCAACTCTGCTACATATCAAAGCTACTCAAACAGGTTCACAGATTGCACTGTCTTGTACCATTTAGCTTTAAATAAATTAAAATTTAAATAATAAAACATTCCAAACAAAAGTGAGTATGGGCATGAAATCACATGCTTGTGACTGGCTTTATTGCTGATGCTTTTTACAGTATCAACGCAACTGAGCATCACAATGAGTAAAATAGCTCAGCCCTTTTTCCTCTGCTCAAGGCATCTTGCCTTGTGAAAAAATGGGGCCACTCACCTCAATTCACTTTGGAGAAAAAGAGCTACAATTTGTAAGAACGTGCCAGTACTTTCAATAATCTATTTGAACATTTAATTATAAAAAGTATTTTAACTCCACAACAAATATAACTACTTACCAACTCCTTTCACATAATCCACAGGGCGCACACGATCTGTTCCCATCTCAACAAAAGAGTTGAAAACCTTGTACAGTACCTCAGGGAAAAAATACAAAAAGCTTACTATTTAGCTTTAAGCTTACATCAGCAGCTATATCCCCCTGCAACTCAGAAACTGGCAGCCCACTGAAGCTCAGCAGGTGTGTTCCGGGTCAGTATGTGGATGAGAGACCTCCTGGGAAAGCTAAGGTTGCTGCTGGAAGAGGTGTCAGTGGGATCAGTAGGGAGCTCTCACCCTGTGGTCTTTGTGGGTCCAAATGAGCCAGTATAGTGAGAGGGACACTACAAAGTAAAAAAGGCGCCGTCCTTCAAATCGATATAAAACCGAGGTCCTGACTCTGTGGTTATTAAAAATTCCAGGGTGTTTCTTGAAAAGAGTAGGGGTGTTACACCCATGTCCTGGCCAAATTTCCCATTGGCCCTTACCAATCATGGCCTCCTAATAATCCCAATCTCTGAACTGGTTTTGTCACTTTGGCTTTGTCACTCTGTTCCCCTCCCCACTGAGAGCTGGTGTGTGGTGAGCGTACTGATGCAGTCTGGCTGCTGTTGCATTATCCAGGAGGGGCTGCACACTGGTGGTGACGGAGGGGATCCCCATTACCTGTAAAGCACTTTGAGTGGAGTGTCCAGAAAAGCACTATATAAGTGTAAGGAATAATTTTTAATTAATAATTATTTATTTTTATTTTTGAATAGTTTGATTTCAAGTTCTCTTCAAATGATTTAAAAAATTTTAAAAAAATATTGGAAGAGCTGGGACATTCAAATCTTCGACATAAACCTGAGACATAAATATATAATCCTCTAGATGAAACCAAGCGAGCAATGACAAGCTCGCTCAGAAAGAGGTTAAGAAATGTTACAAATTAGAAGAGGCCTTTCATACCATTCTTCTAATTTAAAATGTAATATCTTTTTAATCCAAGGATCTCCTCCAGGTGTTTATAGAAGAATGGCACCGCAATCTTGGATAGCCCAATCCTGACATAACTTTTTATGTCACCTCTTCCCAGTGTTTATAATAGTAATAATAAACTTTATTTTATATAGTGCCTTTAAAGGTGGCTTCTCAAAGTGCTTTACAGGATGACAACAACAATAAATAAGAAGAATACACAAGATAAAACACAATTACAATATAAAGAGGAGACCGTGGATGCTGGAACTAAGAAAAGCAGAGGGGTGAAGAATGAAACCAGTTCAGTTAAGGCTTTTCTAAAGAAGAGGGTTTTGAGTCTGGATTTGAAGGAGTTTAGAGAAGGTGACTCTCTGATATCCTTGCGGAGAGAGTTCCAGAGCTTGGGGGCATAACAGGAGAAGGCCCTGTCACCCATACAATGTAGACGTGCTTGGAGGACAGTAGGGAGAGCAGTAATAGAAGAGCAAAGGTTGCAAGGTGGGGAGTAGGGGGATAATAGTTCAGACAGGTACTGAGGTGCCAAGCCACGCAGAGCCTTATACGTGACCATGAGGATTTTAAAGTCTACACGGAATTTGACCGGAAGCCAGTGCAAGGACTCCAGGATAGGAGTAATGTGAACACTTGCACTAGACCTGGTCAGGATTCTGGCTGCTGAATTTTGGACATACTATACTGCAGTTTGTTCAGAGTAGATTTAGATACCCCAGCACGTAGAGCATTACAGTAGTCAATTCAAGAGAACACAAATGTGTTGATCAGCTTTTCAGCCACAGTTAGTGATAGCATTGCAAAAGATGTTTTGACAGTATGCTGCACATGTGGGTCGAATGTTAAGCCAGATTCGAATATCAATTTTTTTCAAAATTTTCAATTTTGATTGAAGCTCAAGTACAGAACCATCTACAGATAGGGTTACAGGACTGGCTTTACGAAGTTGATGGGGGGGTGCCAACACATATCTGATGGCACTAATTATGAATGTATAGTAGATGTACTGTATATGCCATTGCAGCAACACCAGGAGCTAACACCAAACAAGCCAGAGCTGCCTTACGAAACTTGAAACTTGCAATCTAGAAATTATAAAGCCATTACAGACCTCTTAATGCTATGCAGTATTTATCATTCATATTAAGACTGCTGATAATAATGAATGTTTCCTTATGAAAGCTCTAGTCCAGTTGATGTATTCTGCACAATCCCACTTGGACTCTGCAAAGTTTCCAAGGAGATAATTGCATATTCCTCACAATGCTCAGCTGAGGCTCAGCTTCTAATAAGTGTAATTGCACCAATTTTATATCTTCCTGTTAATAATGGTGTGAGGTTAGTATCTAGAACTCCAGTTCCTGGTACATCAGTATGTATGAATTCACCTGCTATTCACTGCCATTTCTCTCTGTTCTGAAGTTCAAAACGCTACATTTCTTTCCCACCTTTGGTCATCGTGTTAAAGCTCATCAGCAAAAATGTAGTTTTTATTTACACAACTGCATTTGACTATTAAAGCCTGCATTAGCCTGCATTAGCCAGTCACTTGCACAGATGGTGAAAATGTCTCCCCTTAGGCACTGTGAGGAAGTCTGGAAGCCTGCAGTCAGCTTCTCTGTGGGAACTGCTCCCTGTATTTCTTTTTTCCAATGGAGTAATGAAGAAAACAATTTTAAAAAGCAAAAACAATAAAAAGAGTGATACTATTTTTTTAGATTAATATGATTTATAATATTCTGAAGTCAAACACTTGCTTAAAATCAAATCAGTAATAACAAAAAATACCACTGTCACCCAGTAACTAATACAACCTCACAACATGTTATGTTTTAATTATCAGAATTTACACTGTCTGTTTGCTCTAGTGTATAACCAACAAAAACAGATTACAGAAGATAATTAAGTAAAACTGAAATGAATAAAACATTTTCAAATTTCATTCATGCTGATCCCTCAGATCCCTGCCTCGGGACAGCCTTCTGAGGATCCTCACACAGGAAAATCTTGCTGACTTGGACACTAGACAGGAGGTGCAGGAGAAGTCCCATCTTTATTACAGTTGAAACAAAAATTAACAAAAAAAGGAAAGACTCTGAACTAAACATGTGAACCTGCACTAGCATCTACTAACACCGAGTAGGACAGTTGCATCTTACAAAAACTATTTGTACACATTTGAAAGGGTAGCCCCAACTGCACTGCACCCCTCACAAGCTCTTTTATAGAAGACAGTCCAAGGTATATTTCAAGTGGTTGGTCAGGCAACTCCAAACCAAGATGTCATCAGGACATCTGTCTGGGTTCTGACTCTATGTTGAGACTTGAAACTCAAGTTTCTAGCCTATTCAGATTGTCTTCAGATCCAGAACCAGAAACACTGTGAATTCAGGAGTACTTTTCTTCACCCATGCCACACATTTCACTTGCGGTGACTCCGACACTGTGTAACTCACGAGGACGGGATAACAAATAAAGAATTATAAGTAAACACATATGTATGCTAACAGTGTATGCATCCACCTTAAGGGGTATAGTGATATAAAAAAACAATTAATGGACCTTATTAATGGATAGCAAGCCATCAATTATTTTTATTTTACACCTTAGCTACAAAGGGAATTATCATTCTAAACTGAAACACTAGGCAGAACATACATTTTTCCCATCAACCTCAGCTGCCTGTAAAGTAAACTGTATATCCAGTGTAGTTTAAATACGAAACCTTAACAGTAACAACAAAATATCATGTCTTAAAGGGGGATGGAGAATAAAGGCGCATTGCACCTGCAGGATCTCTTACCACAGTGACGGCATCATTGAGCAGAGACTCCCCAAACACAATGATGAAGAGCGTCTCATTGACATGGACCTCCTCAAACACAGCCAACACCGCCACAGGGTCCACTGCCGAGATCAGGCTCCCGAACAGCAGGAAGTCCATCAGCCCAGCATTTACATTACAATCTAAAAATTTCATCAGAGGAAAAGGGATACAAAATCTAAATAAATGTTTCCTCGTCAAACAGACGTACAGGGTATTGAAATGAATGAATTCTGACCAGATGTGAGTGTGACTTGACTCACCCATCAGCCCAGCTCCTTTGACACCCCAAAGGCAGAGGCCTGTGCTGAAGGAGTTCCACAGCGTGCCGATCACTGCGTACATTAAGATGGTGCCGATGTTGTCAAAGAAGAGCCTGCTGGGCATGAAGTAGCCGGAGTCGAGCACGATGGGAGGCAACAGGAAGAGAAAGAACAGCTCGGGGTGAAGCTGGTACTCTGGCTTCTTCGTGGCGGCCAGCACAATGCCCCCAAGTCCCAGTCCCAGCAGGATGAGCAGGCAGCTCTCGGGCACGACGCGGGTCACACTGTGGGACAAGTGGAACACTGCAGAGACACAAGACAGATGAGAGGGGGGCAATAAGCCCATCTAGCCTGGTAGTTTAGCAGCAAAAAATCTGAACGTTCATCCAGCCATTTCTTATAGGAGCCCAGAGTGGGTCTCAACCAGCTGTTTCAGATATTGGATAGTGTCTCTTATTCCCTCGGCTAAATGAATTTCTCTTGAGTCTCTAATTGTGACCATGTGTCTTTATTTCATTACGAAGTGGGAAACAGTCCCCTGGGAATCTATACCCATTAGGAATTTGTATATTTGGATCAAAAACTTCCAGCTCCCTCTCCCTACACAACAGTCCCCTGAGACCAGGAATCATTCTTGTTGCTCTTCTTTGAACTCGAAGGCTATAACATCTTTCTGTGATATGTTGACCATAACTGAACACAACACTTCAAAATGAGGTCTTAACTAGTGCACGGTAATGTTTGAGAATAAAGTCCCTGGGTCTACATTCTACATTTTTTGCTCTACGCCTGTGCATTGTTTGCTTTTTTATTTCTTCCCCACATTGTATTAACGAGGATGTAGAAGAATCTACATAAATACCCAGATCTCATCTGTGCGTAACATCCTGTTGCTCAGACACACCCATGTCATCTGTTTAGTGCATGTTCCTATAGTACTAACGATATGGATTACTGTGCACTATTCAATGTTGGATTTCATTTGCCAAGTCTCTGTCTAAATGCCACACAGGAAACGAATGACTTTGATAGATTGCACATTTTGTGCCTCAATTTATAGATCTTACATAATTTTAAATATATAATAATAATAAAGATAATTTTAAATATGAACTTTTTTCAAACGTAGGTCAAACATCAGCCTGACTAGCTTCTTTATCCCATTCCTTTAAAAAACAAAGCAGCTCTCGCCTCTCATATAATGAAATAAATGAAAAATTAATTTCTGTGAGGCCATGTTCCAATTTAAAGGTTAATGAAAAACAAAATATAAAAAGCTGTTATCATGTTCTAAAGAGGCTGATGTGAGACATATTTTTGGAAACTGTTATCATTAAGTGCCCTGCCTGCAGACTGCTGTGAGTTTCCTTCAGTCACAGTCTGGGGTCACCGGGTCACGCCAAGACAAACTCTGCTCTTCTCCTCCAGCATACAGTACACGACCTGACCACATAAAACTATGAACTAATTCCACCATTAGGGCTCCTAGTAATTCTCAAAATGCATCTGAAAATAAGACTTGGCTATGATTAATCCATTACTACAATTTAGATGCACTCCCACATTAAAATAGGTTGTGAAAATATTTTTTCTTCACATTAAGAAATTTCGCAACTATTTTATCATTTTAATAAATGACTGGAATTGGGGGCAGCACACTGACTAACAGTGTCTTCTCCCATTTTGTGTGGTGTTTGCATGTTCTCCCCATGATCGTGTGATCCAGGCTCTCTACTGTAGTTTCTCCTGTCACCAAACCCCACGCAGGTTAGGTTTGACTGGCTATGCTGCTGGACTGTCCCCTGCCAGGCAGGTGGTGTGGTGGGACTGGGAGGCTCATAGCAGGAGGGGAGCTGTTTCCAGTTCTCCTGTAGAACAAAAAGAGCACAAAGTGACCCATAGCCACCTCTCATCTGTGACTTTTCTGATGTCATGTTCTATTTTTAATAAATATCTACTTCTGCTTGTAAAGACACAGCTTTAGCAATGCTAAAAATAGATATTACACTGCCAATTAACCAGCAGGAGTGCCAGAAATGTAAATGAGAAACTACACTGGTACATATTGCTCTGTGCTAAGTACACAGATGTACTACAAAAACAAAAAAAGGAGAAGAAAGTTATGCGTTAAAAGAGATTATCTGCAAAATGACTGTTTTTTAATCTTATGGTATTGGAAGAGTTCTGATTGAGTGATGGTGTTGAATGTTGGTATTAATAATAGTATTGTATTGTGTTGAATTCTTGTCGTATTTGTTATACAGTATGTTAATGAGCTCTTGATGTGCAAGACAAATTCCCTATGGGGCAAAAAAAGTTAATACAATTAATTTCAAAGGGGACAAAGTGCAGCGTCAGGAAGACCTTATTGAGGTGAGAAGAGAAGGTGAGGTGACTCAGATACATACTTTCTTTAACACTTTTATTCATCTGAGAACTGATTTCAGTGTACCTACAGGGAAGGTTGAAAGCCTTTAGACATAAAATACAACAAACCCACTATGTCGTTAAGCATTATTAGTCACCTCTTCAGAAAATCTGTAAAGAAATACAGCATGTCAATTTCTGGACAGACAGAAAATAAATTACAGCCACCAATTTATCTCAATAAGCTGAAGATTCCAGAATGATACAGACACTGTATCGATTCAAATTCCATTATGCAATACAGTATTTATAAATAGTCTTATACAGTACAGCAGGACTCTTCCACTTTCGTAACAAAGCTGAAATCCAATGCATCTTGTTCAAACACAGAAATTCCAAAAATTTCTCTTTAGAAATAAATGTGAAATTAAGTTATTTTTCATTCCCAGCCAAGCTATGGACTGGAACACATTCTCTTTGACAGACCTGGACATAAGAAGTGCATCAAATACGACATTACCGGAGCTCCTCTCCTCAGGCTGGCATTACTGCAAGCCTGCAGGCACCCAGCAGCTACCAAGAGCCCCAGCTTCACTAAATGCTAAGAGAACCAACAAAGGTCTCACCAAACCCAGAAGCCCACTGTGTTCTGCTAGACACAGCACAGAACCTGGGCTTGAACCAGAGATATCTGTAGAACAGGGTTTAACCCTTCCTGGCTTAACTGCGTCAGAGCCAAGGCACTTTGCTCTTTTCTTCCCTAGCAGAAGGAAAAACCTCGATGTCAGAGCGCACCGGATCCTGGACCAGCAGTAGGCAGGTGGACTAGCCTGTGGTTCTGACCTACTCCCACCTTCACTCAGCAGGGAAACTTGTGAACAGTGAATATTTAATGATGTACTGTGCTAATTCTCACTTCAGGTTTCTGATAGAAGATAATGGCCTACAGGAAAATGTTGTAGGCACCCCTTCTGGTTGTTCAATGGAATATCATTGTATGTCAGATGCCTAAAAACATATTCAAGATAGTTTTTCTTTCATGCACCCAGTATCTGAAAGGAACATGCCTAAGACAGCAACCCAGTTTTAAGACTTTCTGAGGAGTAGAAATACATGCTGTTAATTTTAAAATAGAAAAGCTATATAGTCCTTTCCTCAAAAGAGAACACTAATAACTTCCCTGCAGCTGAGAAAGCTGATTAGTGATTGGTTAGGTCTGGTGTTGGGTGACCTGGTCTACAGGCAGACAGTGCTGTATAACAGAAACACCATCAAACCAAGATATAAACAATACAATTCAGTCTCTTTATGAACATCAGATTAGCCTATTTAATTAACACGAATGGTCTTCATGGGAGGATCATTTGGAATTATTGCAAAACCAAACTGAAGTTTTCTAAAGGTGAGAAAAAAATGGAGAAAAAAAGTTAAAGCCTTCATCAAGCATTTACATGCAAGTGCATTGTTAAAACTTTCATGTTCCCAGATGCTGCCCACAAATCAAAGATAACCCTCAAAGGCAGAGACACAATAGTGCAAAACACAAGAAGATAAAAATACAAAACTTTGAAAATATAATATACAGTACAGTGCAATTTTACAAGTGATTCTTCAGGGAATAAGTGGTTGTCATAGCATAACCACTGTGTTTCTTCCTTGATTTCTAAAGAACATATTCCACTTTGTAAACCAGACACCTGATCTTTATATTATTGCCTTTCAAAAGTGAGTGTTATGAAGAACTGCACTGTGTTCTGTGTGCAGTGTGCTTAGCGGAAGAGAGGGAGGAGATTTCGGAGTTCAAGAGCATGAGTAACACTGGATTTATCCCTCTGGCCTTATGTGAAGTACTGTAACTGCACACATGATCCTAAACCAAGGCCAACACACATGAAGAGACACTATGGAGGGATGCAGAAATACCAGAAGCTACAAACACCAGACTCTGCAGACCATCTGCCTTTGACATGTTCATCTTTCTACATTTAGAAAAGGACAGGAGTCTGTATGCTTTTCAAGCATACAGGTCTAAGGATGTTCACGACTTAATGCAGCTTCAGGCATTCAATAATTAAATTACCACAGACTCCTCACTGGTTTTCTGACATTGCAGTGACCATTCTTGCCTTTAAAAACAGCCAGGATGAAGTGCTGAGCACACATCAGACTCTTTCTCTGGAACAGCTGTTTGTTCTCCTCACTCTGCGCACTAGTAGCTTTCCTCCCACAGGCAGTGCTGCAAGCTTCTTCTTGGAAACCAAGTTAACTTTTAAGTAGTATTTCTATACTGTATAGATTTCCCTTATTGATTTACTTCTGTGAGAAATCAGAAAGTTGTGCTGCAATATTTCAGCAGAAACCTGTAAATCATGCTCATGTTAACTGCATACACTGTAATAGATATTTTGAACAAAAATTCTAAAACATTCTGTCTATACATAGAGCCAACATGTCTATCCAGTTCCTATGGTTACCAGTTAAGTCTAAAAAAATATTCATCCACTGCAATCCCTTGAAATAGCAACAACTGTCCAACTCCACTTGCAACGTGCTTTTCTGTCTGTTGTATCCAAGACAGCCCAGATAACTGCTTTTAAAATTCCTCCTTTGAATGTGCTTGTTTGGGGTTTCCAGGGATCTCTCTTTTTTATACAGTTTGGGTTTACAATTGCACGTGGCTGTAAAAAGGAAGACTAAAATCTATTCCTGAAACATGAGAATATTTCACTTAAAAAAAATGTAAAAAATAGTGTCCTGTAAATAACTGGACCTCACCGACACCAAGAAAAATGCAAATCTACTGAGACGCACCAGAGTGCAAGGTCAGAGAAATTAATATTTCAATATTCCTCAAACTGTCCTTTTCATTATCGCAGATACAGCGGAGGAAAAATCGTGATTCTGACAAAACATCCCCATTTCCAAGATGTGAACACAAACATGCTACAGTGCATCATGTACACATCTCAATCCCCACTTGGCCGGAGCATTAACAAATTGTTCCTCACCCCTCTGCGTGGAAAATAATATACAGCGCTGGACCGGATCGCTTATATGACTAATTATGAGCAACAGAAGTGGCGAACACTGCTAGGATCAAGATAGCGGAAATACCTGCGTTTTAATAAAATATTAAGACGAACAAAACTGAGGATGTTCTGAACATTCCTGTGGAAATGAACGAACGTCTTTGCCATTTCTGAGAAAAAGGGGAAAAGTTAAACTTACCAAACGGTTTCAAAATTATTTGAGGCAATTCATATTTTTTTCTAAACATGTATTGATATTGTTTCTACTCATATTCCATTTTCATTAAGCGGCGCTCAATTACAAATTTGTCTCTATGCTAAAAACGCCTATGTAGTGCACACTTAAATGCTGTTCAGAGACTAAAGACTTTATAGGAACACGACAGAAACCTTAAAAATTATATATAAAATCGTACTGGTATCCCTTTTTAAAATATGCAAATTGGCTACTTACGTATTTTTGCAAAACTGGCAATCATAATCCAGATAACTGTAAGGTAGGGTGCCTGGACGTAGCTCCATTCCCATTTGACAATCTCAAACTCGGTCATCGTCGCCGTGTGAGAACCGGCACCTGTGTCACAGGGTTCGGCTGTCTTCCCATCTGGCAGCACAGCGGTAGCCCCGGTATTGGCAGGGTCCCCAATGGGAATGGGGGTGGACACAGAAGAAAGACCATAAGCCGGCTCAGGAATAACCGAAGCCTCAGCCACGTAAAGGTCACTCAGAGTCTCCGTGGCTGCCGTTACAAGCAGGTACGCTGCGCAGCTCAGCATCTTAACCAGCACAGTCAATGGCAGAACACCATCCTGCCTACAGATGCCTGGTTAATATTAAATCTAAAATGAAACGGTGTCGGCCTGGGAACTAGCTTCCTATTCCAGACCCGGTTGCGGCACAACCTCCAGCCACGGTACCAAGGAAAACCTCTGGCGTATATTCGCACGTGACTGCCCCCCTCCGCGAAAGCGAGAACAGCTGTTTAAAGGCGCAGAGCAACGGACTTGTGGCCCTGGGTAACACTGGCGCAACACGTTCTCAGGTGCGAGTGTATTCGAGGTTGTGAGTAAGATGCCCATCGTGATGTTCTTGTTTCTTACTCTCACACTCTAGAACCATATTAAAAAATGTAAAAATAAAAATTGTACACGCATGCGCTATTTCAGTCTTTTACAACTAAATATGAACTAAATACAGTTGAATTTACAATGCAAAACTTTAGTTTTACTAAAAAGGACAACCTCAAAAGCGCATTATTTCCATCATTTCAGCTTACTGCGGGAATGAAAGAGCAAGGATTTGAGGATAAGGAAAATAAGCTAGTAGAAAAAGGTTGAGGACTTCTCTGATAGCTTCTGTCTTCATAGAGGAGGAGTCTTTTAATCTCTGTGAAACGATCCAGACAGGGGATGAGAGTTGCTGGTGCAGAGTGACTGCTGTGTGTCTCCCAGGTGGGGCTGCTGGTGCAGAATGGATGCTGCGTTTTGCCCTGGTGGGGCTGCTGGTGCAGAATGGCTGCTGTGCGTCTCCCAGGTTGGGCCGAAGTTGGAGATGGATGATCTGTGTGCTCTCCTACATGTGCAACACTTGTGGATCCCATAGGATGAAAAGTACTATAAAACTGTAAACAGCAAATACAGTATTTTCAGTGTATCATAAAGCAATCAAGTCCCTGGTCTTGCATTGAGAAATTGCAAGGAGAAAGGTTAGACAATTGCATTCAGAAGATAAAACAATTTTTAAATTTGGTTATAGTATTTAATATATACAAAAGAAATAGAAAACAAAAACAGCATCTTTCTGTTAATATGCCACTATGAGTAATTTGGGGATTCTCAAATAGACTCATGTGCGAACAAGTATTAAAAAAGGATGAATTTCATAATTTCACAACTTTAGAACTACACATAAGATATGTAAATATCATAAGCAGGTAAATAATTGCTACACAAACTTCACATTTGCACACCTAAGACTCCCAGTGCAAAAAGTGATATCCATATTATGGATGTATTTCTTCACAATATGTGTACTACTATGATATTAAATCCATGTCATCTCAGCATTTTAAAGCTTTTTGTAACATGTAGAACTTCATGTGTCTAATGGTTTCAGACAATAAATTTAGTCCAGTAAGATTCCAGACTGACTTAATGGATGCCACATAAACTAGATCAGAATAAAGTTTACAGACAATAATTTCTTGAGTGTTGATGGTGCTAATCACAGGAATACATTTGGCCAGTTCTGACTTGTTAAATACCATTCTGGTCCAGTGATGTGCCATTGACATCTTCCCAAAAATGTTGTGATAGTTGATATAAGTGATCTTCACCGCTGTCTTGTATGTAACTGAATATTAAGATCTAACTGATAAAAATGGAAGCACAGTGCTAAACTAACCAACAACATAACATGCTGAAAAAAAGTAAAAACGGGCTGCAGATTCAAGATGGTGGGAGAATCTGATTTGAATGTGATCTAGTTTATATGTCTTCATACATCCTCCATTAAGAGAAGCTTAAGGGTTTAAAGAACTTTTAGAGATAGTTTCAATTTAGGAGTACTACAAAACTAGATGGACTGCTTAAAAGACATTCACTAAATAGCAAAAATATCAGTAACTGAACCAGGATCCTGAGAACTACTTCTAAACAATACCAAAATTACAAAATAAAATATTCAGGAATCAAATTCAGTAAACATACTTTACAAAACCATCTTTTCTTATGTTTACAAAATATTCAGGCAACTTATAATAATAATAATAATAATAATAATAATAATAATAAACCATCATTAGTTTATTAGCTTTATTATTTAAACTATTATTAGCCCATTACAAGGGTA